CTGTAACAAATCAAAGGCAACCCTGTGCCTTCACCTCTGGCGGAGTTTTTATTGCAGTTGTGAGGAATGCTCACTCCAGCAGTAAAATCGTAGATGTCTGACTGAAGCAAATCGAGAGATAACAGAACAAAAGCAGCAAACCTGAGCTAGAACCAAACAACTCCCCTTCAAGCCCCCTCCCCTTACTCCTGTTTCTCTCTCAAGAGAAACCGCATGTCTGCACTCCCCATGGGAAGTTTTCCTGGCCCAAATTCCCACCAACGCCCTCTAAGAATAATCACTGGCTTAGCCAGAGATGTTAAGATGGCTTTTTGAGGACAGGAGTCCTCTCCCACCTCTTCTCAAAATGCTGGCGCTACAATAAATCGCTCTCTTTGTCTCCGCCACTTGTCTCACGGGTTTGGCTTTCCTTGAGACAGGCAGCCAAACCTGGGTTCAGTTTCAATAGCATGTTGATTTTTATTGTCTGTTAAGATTTTCAATAAATTGCCACTAATCAGGGATCAAACCCAATCTTTTTTAGTAATTTACACAAAACTCTCTCTAATCCGGTCCAGTAGTTCCTTCTAGCATTAACAACTCTCACTGCCCTGGATTCATTTTCCCGCTTCTCCCCCAGACCCTGAGCTATTTGTAATGAGAGTTCTCCTTGAGTTCCTAATCTGTATCTCTTTCCATGCTTCATGTGGTGCCTAAAATGTGTTTTGTTGTTTGTGGGAGCAGGCAGAGGGGATAGAATTCCAAAGGAGTCTACAAAGCGCAGTTCAGTAATATCTCTGTGGAGCCTTTCTGCCGTCACTCTTTTTTCCTCTCCATCAATGAAGTTATAAAATTACGTAAATTTTTCTACCCTCTATATCAGTGTCATGCTGAGTAATATTAGAGCTTGATGCAAAAGAAAACATTATTAATACTGATCTCGTCCTTATTTAAAATTTGGGTATTTGGTTTATTGTGGATTTTTGCATAAATTTCAATTTTTTTAAATGTTCTTTCAAAATGTTATTTATCTTACTGAGTTTTTTTGGTGCCTTAAGTATTTTGTGCCTGAAGTTAGTGCTCATTCATATCACCCTAGTCTCGGCTTTACACTATACCGCTGTATCACTTACTATCCTCCATAGTTATTTGTCTACACATCTATCATCACAACCAGGCTGTGACCACCTATAAGGAAATAAAATGGTTTTGTTTCCTTCGTACATCTAAAAATCAGCATGGTGTCCAACATTAACCAGGAATCCACCTAGTAAAGATGAATAAAAACCAAACAAGAATCAAAATTCTTCAGTCTTTAAGGAGTAAAATCTTCCACAAGGAGGAATATATCTATCTAAGTGGAGAAATGTTATTTCTTTTAAGAAAATCTTAATCTGAGGCAAGCCATGAGCTAAAAGTAATTAAGCAATGCCACTAAAATCAGATTTACCCCCATAAATATCTGTTTGTGGCACAAAGTATCAAGTATATCTGTTCCATATGCTTGTATTTAGGCTAAATGAGAACCAGAGAATATTGAAATGGAGAGAAATCTTAGGTATTTTTTCATCCCACTTTCCTGTTATAAATAACAAACAAAGCCTAGAGAGTTTAAATGTCTAAAACCACACTAATGTAGATAAGGTGTCAGAACTAGAAGTCAGGTCACTCATTTCTCAACCTGGTCTTTTCCCTTTGGGGTGGGGGGGGACACAGGGAAGTAGGGATTTTTCTCTAGGTCAGACAGAATTACCAATTCATGAATAAAATAAATGACAATTATTTACGTATTGCTTGAAACACAGTCACTGCTAAAGTGGGGTGATGGAAAAATGAGCCTTTAAAGTCTTTCCAGCCCTGTGCTCTTTCTTATCTATGTTGCCAAATTTTCTCTGATTCATTTCCTTCTGTAAAAAGGGTGACTACGCTCTATCTACTCTAATTCAAGATGGGTGAGGTCTAATGTAATATACACACTATTCAGATACTCTGTGTATGCACAAATGCAAGGTACTTTTAACTGTGGATTAATCATGTAAATATGTTACTATACCTAGTCATGCCTGGAGGACATCAGAAGTAATGACATAGCAGTTACTGTCCAACTTGCAGTTGGAAGCTAGAATATAGGCCTTGGTACTGAATGAAATAATTCTGAATTATATATTTTTAAAAACAGAGACATGCAAAGGTAATCTTCTCAGCCAGAATCCTTCTTCACAACTTGCCAGGACTTTGGGCTCTCATAACTCTAATAGAGATTTTCTCATGGTGAAAAGTGGCAGGTCCATCACAATGAATGTAGCTCTGCGTTATTAGAAAGATAGAAATGGTGACCAAAATAAAACAGAATTTAGCCTTGAATTAATTTGATGGAATTCATTGGGGGAAAAAATGAACTATGTATTATTAGTAGTATTAGTATTAGTATTATTTGCAAATAAAATAATTCCTTTTTCTACTAATGATTAGAATTTCTGGTCAATTCCTTCAAATTAACAATTAAGAATCAATGGCTAGCCCGGGCTAGTATGGCTCAGTAGATTGAGTGCCAGCCTGTAAACCAAAGGGTTGCTGGTTCGATTCCCTGTCAGGGCACATGACTGGGTTGTGAGCCAAGTCCCCTGTAGGGGGGATGCAAGAGGCAACCACACATTGATGTTTTTCTCCCTCTCTGTCTCCCTTCCTTCCTCTCTCTAAGAATAAAGAAATAAATAAATAAAATCTTAAAAAATAAAAGAATCCTTGTTAATTTTGCCCTTTCTCTTTATTTGGGCACTTGATTTATTTAAAAATCTTCTTCATGTACAAAAGTAAGAAAAATACTATGAGTTCATTTGTATCCCTGGTCTACAAATCCAAAATCATTTATTTTTATCTCTTCAACATCTGTGAAATTTATAAGAAGAATTTATTTTTAAAAATTGAAGACAATGAAACACTTCTGAAAAACTGGCCAATAAATAAGCAAGGAGTATGCTCCTTGCCCAAGAAAAAAGGTCATTTCATTAGAGCAAAGAACAATCATAACCTCCAACAACAATTTCAATCATTGTTCTCAAGGCTAGAAATCTATTCACATTCATGAGATAATGTTTGATAAGCTTTTTGTACAAATATTCTTTATTAAATACATATATTTATACAAATTTTACTGGGCCTCATATTACAGATATCGATTTGTAAATGAGGGATTTGGATTCGGTGATTTTGAAAGCATAGTTCAGCCCTAAAACTGTTGATTTTTCTAGGAATTACCTGGAGAGATGACCAGGAAGGAATTCTCAGATATGACTCACAATATATGGCATTTACACATATTACAGGTATCAGACAAAACCACTCCAAATAATTCAATAACTGAAAAACTAATACCAATCAATACAATTTCCTTTCTAAAAAATAAGAGCTCCTGTTTGCAACATGGCCATTTCTCTCAAAATTTCCCCCCAAACTTCCAGAACACATTCATTCACAAAACCCAGATGAGAGAATTATAAAAGAAAAATCTGGAAGCAATGCAACAAAAAATCGACCTAGATTTAGCAGCATAAGAGAGCTGCCTGAAATTCAATTAACTTGTTGTGTCTACCTAATGAAAAAGAAAAGTTAGTACATGAAAATCTTGATAAACTGCATAACAGAGTTAGCAGCATCCAACCCCTTGGCTATGGATTTGTTGTTGTTTTTTCTGTACTCCATTTCTTTGCTGCTGCTCTTTTAATTCTGAAAGCTCACCTCGGTTATGAATCTGTGCAAACCTTTCCCCCACATAAATGTGAAACCACCCAGAAATACAGAATTATGGACACAAAACCTCCCCAGAAGTTTAGCATTTCACTAGCTAATACATTTCACCAGATCTATGTTGGGAAAAGCATTTAAAAAAGCTTTGTATTGAGTTCCTAATTCTGATGATTCTGTGATTCTGATCACATTTCAGACAGGTAATCTATAAGTTCTTACAGCGCCTAGAATTCTACTTTCAGGCACAAAGTGCTTTTCACTTACAGAAAAATTGATACCACATTTTCATTATATTTTGATGTTAATCGTTGAAGTTGTACTAATGTGTACTTATCTCAAAAGTGGCTATGTGAACAATATACCTCTTATCTCTATCGGTATAGGAGACAAATGTTTTGAATATGTTTACAGATTCTAAATAATTTTCTCCATTAAAGAATGCAGTGGCTTCTGCTAGTTTATGTTCATTAGCATGCACTGACTGTTCTATCGAAGTAATATTGCAGGTAATGCTGAAGGAGCTTTCCTAGAGAGACGATATCTAGCATAGTGTCTGGGACACAGTAGGCTCTGAATAAACATATGTTGAAAGAACACATAATCAAATGAACTACTATCAAAATAATTCATACAATGAGTTTAACTTTGGCTCAAAGCACAAATTTTCAAGTCAACTGTTAAGTCCTGTTTGGCCATCATAAGACAGGGAGCATATTTTCCATGGTCTCTGTATTTTTTTTTCAATGAAGCAGAGGTTTCACTCCATTGGTCAGCATTTGTTTTCTTCTAGTTTCCTTGTAAAAATGTTTCATTTAACAGGAAAAGTCCTTCGTGTGCAGATACTAGTTCAGAGGATCTCCAAAGGTCACCAGATATGATATCTGCTAACAATTCTGATTAAAGGCAATGCCACTGGGAAATTTAGGGTGGTTGGTTGATATTCATAGTGTGTATTTGAAAATGTCATAGTTTGTTTTTAAATTTCAGTGCATAAATATGCACCACATATTTCTGATAGCCCTATTTCTCTTGTCTCAACTTTCCAAGATGGTCTGTATTCTGTCTAATTTGAATGCGGAATTGATTCTATTTAAATCATTTTCTGAAATGAAAATTGGCTCATTTTCTCTTCACCGAGGAATTAATTAACTCTCCCAATAACTGGCTTGAATTTTTAAATGGAAAAATTACATAGCATTTTTATTAAAAACATTTAAAAAGACATTCTGCATTAAGTTCATCATATTTTAGGAAACTACTATAGCAAAAAAAAATTACATCAGACTTTCTGATTTCTCCATAGTGTCCTTAGATAAATAAACAACCCAATATACCATGTTAAATGCCCCAAAGGTTACTGGAAAGAGGATGCGAGCATATTTGTCTATTTTACTTGTGCCAGATCCAGAAGGTGGTGGCGCAGAAGGAGGAGTGGCGGCTGACAACTTCCCAGAAGCCCCTATGGTATTAACTGTGGTCTTAATTCGCTCCAGTCTTGATCCAAACACATGATGGGTAAAAGCAGATCCTACTGAAGCTTGCCGGGGCACATACCCAGTTCTACTAGGAGTAGAAAAAGAAGCAGATGGAAGTGCTCTTGCAGCAGATATAGTTTCAGCTGCATTCGCATGGCTGAACGGGTTTGGACTGGAAGCTAAGTAAGACTGCGATGTGGCTTCAGAAGATCCTTGGACAACCACAGAAGATCTGTTCGAATGGTTTCCTACCTCAGTTTTGATGCCAATGTCAGATTCAGAGTGAACCAAGGCATTTGTTCTTTTCCTCATGTTCAGATTGGCATTTGTGTTCTGAAAAGGCATAATAAAAATTGCATTGGTATGTCATTTTATGGAGATGTATACAAAATTTAAATGAATCAAATAATTAAAATGAGTTGTGTCCATAAAAACATTTATTAATATGCTATAATAGCTCATCTCGATGTAAAAGCTTACCCAAAAAAGTGTATATAGATTTGAAATGCTGAATCAAAAAATTTTTTATTTCAAAATGCTATTCATTCTTATAAGTAATTAGAATTTAAATCTATTAAAAGTAAATTAGGCTTTTAGGAGTATAAACTACAGTTACACATTATTTTAAAGGTTCATGATGATAACAGTACAGTTCAGTTTTATCAGAAATAGTATTCTGTGATATGCTGTAAACACTTCAGTGAGCTATGTATATTTTTTTGAGCTATGTATATTTAAACAGGAAGAATCTCATCTATTCTCATGTGTGGATTAACAACAATAACAACCATCCATATGTGCATGACATCCCTTAAAAAATCCAAAAGCTTTCATTTCCAGATCCCTGGGATTTATTTATACAATCTTATATAGGCAATTATATACATTATTATAAATCTAGAAATCCTCACGCATTTTAGATTTTTACCACAATAGTGAAAAAACAAAATAGATTGTAAATAAAATGCTGTCCTAGATATATAAATAGCATCACTATATCACTGTATGCATATCTGAGTTCAAATTATTTACCTATAAAAATGTTTAACTTAATATGGATTTCAGTGTTTTTCCATCAAATTATGTTATGTGTAGGACAAGACTACATTAAAGGCAGATGCATGAAAAATATTAAAATTAATTGTCCTTGTATCTTGACAAGCACAATAAACAACTATATGGCCAACTATAGATTGTCCATACTAGTGAAGAAAGCAAATGCTCAAATGATTCCCTGAATAGTCATGTCTGTCCTTAGATAATAGTTTGATTTTTTTTGCAAAATTTCTGCTTTGTAATCATGCTCATCCTAAGTCAAATTAAGGGTGTATAGTAGTTACTTCCTATACCTTCTCCACCTATCATTTTATGAAATAAATGATGGGGGAGGAGATGCAGAAGTTGAGAGAAGGAGGGAGAAGAACATAAGTATGTGATTATAAGAAGGCAGCCTATAAGAAAGTTCACAGATAATATTAATGCAATTGAGTGTTCACAGATAAATATTTATTCTACAAATATAATCTTTTCTCAATACCGCACTCATGAAGCAGGTTGAAAGTGTTCAAGCCATTTATATGTTTGTGAATTATGACCTCAAGTTTTCTGAGAAAGAAAATAATCCTCACCAAAATGAGAGGGTCTGAGGTTTACAGAGTGTTCTTTCTGTCAGCCTGGAGTGTTGTTCTAAGTAGGTGGTAGTTGAACTCATGAGCAATTGTAGTCTAACATATGGCACCTAATTTAAGTGGAGACAATTTAAACCAAAATTGACATCAACCTAAGAGTTAAATTACCATTATTTACCCTGAATTTTACTCTACAAAGCCCATGTAAACATCACTTAATTGATCTGCAGGGTTTGAGTCCCTTTTTACAGAAAAGGAGAATCATTAATTGATTACTCTAAAATGTAACACACAGGGTAAAAAATATAAAGAAGTTAAGGTATATTCATAACATCTAAAAAAATCTTACACTGTTATTGGTAACATAAAATGAATACCCACACACATGACACAATAAAAATATAACAACTAGACTGAGAAGGAAAGAGAGTGGAATTGCACAAGCAAGAGAGAAATACATATTTTAAACTATGATCAAATATTCGCATACTGCTTTTTCCCACCAGACGTTAGGTCATCCACAGTCTTTAGAAATCCTTCTTTTTCCTAAGGATAAATTCTAAGAATTGGAGACTTTCGTTTCTGGCCAAAATGGTGCAACAGAGACTGAATTTACTCTCCTGCATGAAATGACTAAGAAAACTAGACAAAATATATTTTAAAAACCCTATTTTTGAAAACCCTGGTTATTAGACAACATAGTACCAGAATTGCTGACAGACTCCTGAAATCAAAGTGGCTAGATTTCACAAGGAAAAGTAACAGAGAAGTATATGCCAGAAAAAATAAAGAGCTCCAAAAATTTGAAGATTCCCATTGAATATTTTACTAAGTACGGATCAGATATTAAGTGTGAAGTAACTACTGAAGACTTCAAAAAGAACCACCTGAAAGGATTAGAAGCAGTATCCGGCATACACAAAGCCAGGGATAGTGCATGTTTCTACCAGCCAGATTGGAAAATCTCAACATTCACATAGCATTTTCTAGAGTACTTAGAAGTGCCTTGCGAAGTAAGCTGATCTATTCCTGCCTAATGAATCTTAAAAGTTGAATTAAAATGGCACCAATTCATTCTCCCTCTCCACATTTATGTCCCTTTTTATATGAGTTTCCCTTCTTTCCCATCACGAGCTGGAGCTTATTTCCCTACAGGCTTCCTTATGACTTTCTTTGGCCAACAGTATGTGGTAGAACTTATGGTTTGCCACGTTTGAGTGTTAGTCTTACAAGTCCTTGCTTGCTTTCACTCTCAGAACACTGCCAACAACACTAGAACAAACTTAGTGTTAGGCTAAGCTGAAGGAGAAATCTTTTGGAGTATAATGAGTTATCCTAGTGAGGTTGTCCTGAAGCCAACAGCTAGCTGACCACTAAATTGTTGGGAACCTTACACCTGGCTTCTAGCTAAAAACATTGCATTGATTACAGGAACCTGTGCGCTCCACGAGCCAATCGGCTACAGGTACATGAGGTATGCATGCACTCCACAAGCCAATCAGCTACAGGCACATGAGGTGTCCACGAGTACCAGTTGCACCCAAGTAATCAATAAGCGGGCCCTTCTTTGTCTCAAGCTAGCCAATAGCAAGCAACCTAATCTCCTTCCTCTCCCTCCCCCCCTATATATATACCCAGTTCGGAAAAATAAAGTTTGCAGCTTGATCAGAATCTTTTGTCTTGCTGCCATTCTTCGCGCGCCTCTTGTCCCCCCAACTCATTTGTTCTAGGTAGGTGGTCGAGCCCCAGTTGATTGCTCCGCGGGCCGAGCACTAAATGGGTGAGTTTGTCCCAGCTAAGGGACAATGAACTCACCAGCCAAGCCTAACCAAAATCAACAGTGAATTCTAATTCACTCATAGGGTTGAAAGCAAAAATAAATTATTATATTCCACTTCTTAAGTTTTGTAATTGTTTGTTATGCAGCATTTTTGTGCACTAGATAACATATCTAGACCAATTAAATCAAGGGTCCTAAAGGAAGTATCCCCAAACCTCCTATGAGAAGTTCCCCAGACATTCTGGGATAATTAGAACGCTGGCATGCCAAGAATTCATTGAAGACCATTAGGGGGCCCCATTGCCTAACTCCACATGCTAGTTAAAGAACCATGATATTTTGCCCTTCTCAATTCCAGTCTTAAACAATAACAATATTTTAAAACACAGACAGTTTTTAGTGATCAACTTATTCCAGTTCCTCATGTACAAGAGAGAAAAATTTGAGCAGAAAGGTCATGACTGACTGGAAGTTAAACATTGTTAACATAGAGTATTCTGCCATGTTGTACAGGGTCTTCATGCATAAATGTGGAGGCATTAAAGAATTTAATAAACTAATCCTATCCATATGAGTCACTCGAGTGTTTGTGATAGTCAATTATATTGTAAAAATTATTCAAGACTTGGAAGTCAGAAATGAGTACAGCATGTTTATTCAATGTTATAATGAAGCATTATTTAACAAGTCTATGCAAGGACTATTAAGTCTCTAGGAGAATTTACTTGAGACTGATTTTGCTACTCAATATTGGATTTGAGCCCTAACACTGTGAAGTTACCAAGTTATCTATTAACTTGTAGGTTATTGTCCAGTAGAAAAGGCCACCAAAAGTTATAATTTTGTTGCCCTGTAGGATTTTAAACACTTCCATACTTAACCTAGAGACCTCATTCTGATATTCCCTTTTTTAAAAAGTTACTTCACTAGCTATTAGAAAGATTTTAAACCAGTTTTACCATTTAACTGGTTCCCTGATTAATTAATGAGTTGAACAAAACTTTTCACTTACATGCATTTCATACTTATATGTCATATTTTTGAAGATTTGATAATTTTATTCTGACAACATCTATAATTAGACAAATTATAAATATCAAATAAATATAAGAACAGACTTAAAGAAAATGCTGGAGAGTAAAATAATCCCAAATAAAAAGGGACAGGATCAGTCCATGGTGGCTGATGAATCAATGAAGGAAGAGGATGAAAATGGAAGGAGCAGTGGGGAGATCCAAGATAGTGGAGGAGTAAGTAGATGCTACTCTAATCTCCTCCCAGGACCAATCTGGAATTACAACTAAATTATAGAGAAAGCATCCTAAATAACCAACTGAACATTAGCTGGAGAGAAGCCTTATAACCAAGGGCATACAGAAGAAACCACTTCACCACAACATGACTGGCAGGGAGTGTGGAGATGCAAGAGGGCTGGCTGGGCTCCCACAGGTGGCAACTGAAGATCAGGAGGGTTATTTTAGCAGCCAGGAGGTTCCCCTGAGAAGTGTTCAGTCTAAACCATAAGCTGGGTTCCCCAGCCCACAGCACCAGAGCCAGAAGGGAACCCAGATAACATCCAGCTGTGAAAATCAACAGGAATTTTCTCTGCCAGAGAGAGACAGCTGGAGGCACACAGAGCCTTTTAAAGAGCCAATGTACAAAATTTTATTTGCAGCCACTTATCCTAGGCTCTGGCAGAGCGGGGGCAGAGTGGACTAGAGATGCTTGAGGAGAGTCTGGGTTTGGCAGCTCTCGGGAGAGAGCTGAAGGAACAGTTGACAGGATCTCTGCTGAGTCATTCCCCATACAGCACGAGCCATCTTTCTCAGGAAGGTCACTCCCCTTTAAGTGGTATCAGCTTGAGGAAAAGTAAGAGCTCTGCCTCCATGAATTACTCTGCCCCAGCCTGCAGTGCTTAAGCCAGG